TAGCACTGATCAGCAAGGGTTAACTTGCTTTCCACACACAAACTTCACATGCAGATTAATTTTGTTTGTCTGTATTTTGTTTTACAAATGGCCTTCCCATACTGCAACTACAACTATAATTTCAAGTTCCTTGCTTATTCAAAATATCCTACACACTGTAAAAAAGACCAGAGGGAGATTTTTCTACAGTAAAACACACAGTTTTCATCGTTTGCCAACAGCCCCAGTCTTGTAAGTTGTTCCAGGCTTGAAAGCCACCGTACACACTGGGAAAGCTTTTTTGATTTCACTGTAGGGACCAAGTCAGCTGAGAGCACTTGGAATCTCACAACATTACTGCTCTTATTCTGTCAGAAGAGTTAAGCAAGAAACCTTACCAAGGAACAGTCAAATCCAAAAAGGGAAATTTGCTTTTTTTCTTTGAAAAAAGGTTTGTATAATAAGCTTGAAAAAGTATCTCTGTAACATTAGGTATCACAAGACTTGCATTTTTTCCTGTACCAACAGAAGCTAAATTTGGTACTAAGTTCAATAAATACGTAGCCTTACCAACTGGCAGGGAAAAGAGGCCATCAACTAAAAATACATGCTTCTAAGTATCAAAGTTATTAGTTTAAAATATAAACTTAGGCTAAATTTACGCATTTAGCTCTTGAGCTCTAGGGTAGCACAAGATACACAGTATCTCTGTGAGGATAATGTAACAATGGAGTGAGAAAAAAGATCATCAGGATCTTCTATGGTGGTTTTTGTATTTTCTATTCATGCTCACTACCTCTCAGTAAGGACTGTAACATTTTCCCTAAGCTATTATAGTTCAGCTTTACTTACCGATAGCCATGAAATTAAGATTCTCGTGGACAGTCAGGCAGGATACAACCGTGGGCTTGTTACCTGGTATTGCTGGAAAAATTCGTGTGCAAAGAGGGTTACCACCATCTCGTTTCTCCAGATTCCAGACTTTCACCTACAAACAACGATGATCTGGCATAAGCAAAACATGGGGTATTAGTAGGCCATGACCTGGCATCAAAACGTTATAGGACCCAGAATGAAGAAGCTACTCAGGGTAAGAAAGGGCTACTGAGATGATCACAATAGTCTTTAAGAAAGAACCGTATTACAAATGCGATTTCCTCTCTTCGTCATTTAACTTACCAAAGGATTTATACCCTCCTCATCCTCACCAATAGAAACCAGGATACTGTGCTGCTTCAGCTGGTACAGATGTGTCACCCTTAGCTTGTAAGCTTGGAAACTGCTGAGTTGAAGGGAGCGAGGCAAAAACCAAATCTGACCTTCCATATTTAGATCACAGTTAAGGCACATAAAGGGACCAAAAAAAAAAAAAAAAAAAAAAAGAAAGCCCCACACCTCCAATCGTATAAGAATCTGCATGCCTTTTGCGGACTCCTGGTAGAGTTACAGCAAATACTTCTGCAGAGCAATCCCGGAGCACCAACACATCCAGCGGCGCTTTGGGGTTTTTGTTTAAACAAAGCACAGCCGTCAGCGGAAAGCTGCGGCATTCCCAAGGCCGGAGCACCCTCCGGCCCGCGGTAGACAGCGCAGGACTCGCCTGCCA